AGGTGCAGTGTAGCAATGATGAAAATACAACTTTCCTCTAGTTCTTTAATGCTTCCCCGCCCCCACTATCATGACCCCAATTCTACCTTACAAATCTGGTTAGACCAGAGGATGTACACTGGTACAGACACGAACTGGAAACACAGGGAATGCAGGACAGGTGAGCCCCTTAGGACCAGTGGTGAGAGTGGCAATACTGGGAGGGTGCAAGGAAGGTGTGATAGAAGGGGGGGACTACAAGAATCTATATATAACCCCCCCTACCTGGGGGACAGACAACAGAAAATGGGTGAAGGGATACCTCAGACAGTGTAAGACATGACAAAATAATAATAATTTATAAATTGTCAAGGGTTCATGAGGGAGGGGGATTGAGGGTGGAGGGGAAAAATGAGGCTTCAACTAGAAAGAAAATGTTTTGAGAACGTTGATGGCAACAAACGTGCTTGACACAATGGATGGATGGATGGATTGTGATAAGCATTATACAAGCACCCAATAAAATGATATTTTTAAAAAAGGTTCCGATGCTGTAAATCTTTGTGGGAGTGGCTGGTGGACTTGAAGCACTAAATTTAGGTTAATAGCACAATGCTTTACCTTAGCAGCACACTAGGGCTCTCTTAGCTGCCAGGGGGCTGGACAGAAACTGTCGGAAAATGAAAGTTTGTGGATTTCTTTTTTTTTTAATGAAGAGAATGAAATTTTCCCACAAACTTTTGGAAGCCCGGTGGCACAAGTGAACCCTGGAATAAGTCTTTTATCCAACAATACTGTCTTAAATAAAATCAAGATTCTTTACTAAAAGAGAAGGGACCAAAGTAAATTCCCACTCATAGTGACCTGTATAGGGCTTCTGAGGCTATAATCTTTACTGAAGTAGATAGTGTTATCAGGGCTTTTAGGTTTTTACATGTTAGGATCCTTCTAATGGAAATCATATCCCAAATGGGGCCGTTCATGCTGCACAAACCCAGAAACTATTATTTATTTATATTGTATTCTATATGTCTTCACTGAAGCTGAGGGGCTTTGGTTCTAATAATAATGGAGAAATATGGTTACACCATGAAGCTACCATACCAACTCTGGGCTTTTCTATGTGAAAGGACTGTAAATGTCTACTTTGTGAAAGTCAATTCCAGTATCTGTTATAAGTAGCCAGATAGAAATTCTGATAAATACTGACCAGAGTTATGTGAGCATAGAAACTAAGTGTAATATGTAATTCTCCCAAAATTATTATATGGAAGATAGCATTATTTGCCTTTATTACACAAGAAGACATTCTTTTTTTCTTTTTTCTTTTTGAGTGAGTGAGTGAGTGAGTGAGAGTGAGGCAGTGAGTGAGTGAGTCAGACAGTGAGTGAGAGAGTGAGCCAGTGAGTGAGTGTGAGGCAGTGAGAGTGAGCCAGTGAGACAGTGAGAGTGAGGCAGTGAGTGAGTGAGACAGTGAGAGAGTGAGAGTGAGTCAGTGAATCAAGAAGACATTCTTTAAAAGACCTTTTTTTGCCTATAAACTTGAAATTTAATTAAATCAGAATCAAATCTAATAAACTTCTTAACATCTTCAAAAGCTTTAAAACACTTTGAAAACTTCAAAAGAATCACATTACCTTCACTCAGTAATTTAGCTGTCTCAAGGTCTTGAAAGGAAACACTTTCATTTAGCTGGATAGGACATCGATAATTTAGCATCTGTAGCAAGTAACTGATTCCATCAATAAGGTACTGAATGAAAGCAAAGCCAAAGAATCAAAAGTATTATAGGAAAAATTGTAGAAATTTCCTATGTAAATTTCCCTCATTTTTCACTCAGGAAAAAATGGGCTGAGTTATAAATATACTGGATGTTATATTTCAATTACAAAAAATTCACATCATAATACAAATCTATGTCCCCAAATGCCCAAATTAGTTAGAGCTCAATATACACACACACACACACACACACACACACACACACAGCCTTAACCAAGAACACATTTCTGTAATGTACATGGCCAAATATATTATCAGAGGAAGAAATGATAGCCAGGTTCTACAGTTACTTATTTAAAGTATGTATAAACTTACTTATTACAGAAACACCAGAGTCAAACATTTACATCTCAAAGGGTGACCTCCCATTTCCAAAACCACCTAAATCACTGCAAAAGCAGCTCAGTGAGAACCCTAATTGATACAAAACTCTGGGAGGGTGGCCTTTAGATTTAATTATTGTTCAGAAGTGTTAAGATGGATCAGAAGGTACCCCACTATCTAGGAGCTAGATCATGGTGAGTTCTTTAGGAGTGATCAGCTGGCAGAAAGAGGCCTACAACCAAATGTTTTCTTCAGATCCTACCAAAAATATGCTTAGGAATTAATCTAAATAATGTAATTATATTTGGGGGGGGGAAATCAAGAACTTTAAGCAAAACGGAGTTTCTTGCCCTTCACCCTCACTGCCATCAAGTCAATTCCAACTCATAGCGATCCTACAGGCAGGATAGAACTGCCTCTATGGGATTCGGAGAAAATAACTTTTTATGGGAGTAGAAAGCACCATCTTTTTCATCTAGCTCATGAAAACTTTAAGTTTATTATTCTATCATCACAACAACCCCAATTTATTTAAGGTTACACAGCTTTTAAGTAGAAGACCTGGAACTCAAACTCCACTCCACGCCACCAAAGACAGCTTTCTGAAAACAATAAACATCAATATCAACAATGTCTAAGGAAGGTTACCTTTTTAAGCAGAGCAGATTTTCTTAACAGCCACTCTCTCCGTTTGGTCAGAGAATGACAATACATGTAGAGTAGGGCTCCTCTTCTCCAAGACAGGCATTCCAGCAGCTCATCCCCAAGCAAACCGCCATGCTGCAACACACCGAAGGTGACCGCTACACAAAGGAGCTTGGCATTTGTAAAACCAAAGACAATGCTGAACAAATGGAGCAATTCAAAACGCTCTCGTCTCACCCACTTTTACTAACACAGGAATGCCTTAGTTTGAATCAATTAACTAGATCAAAATGCACTGCTACATGAAAAGAAAAATGTCCTCAATTTACAAATAATTTTTTTATACAACTTGAAATATATTTTAGTGGCCAAGTCTTTAATATACTTGAAATATAAGTACTACACCTGAGTAAAAAATAACTTTGCAGAAATACATTACTTGAAGCAAGATCATAGCTATTTGCACTACTACTGAGAAAAATGAATGAAAAATTACATGTAAAAATTAGAATCAAATTCTTTAAAAAGATCTATTCATTTTTTCAGCAAACATTTACTCTGTTAGGCATATGTGGCCAAGCAGGGTCCTGAGGGGAGTGCACCAATGAGCACACAAAGCATCTGTTTTCAAGAAGCTCAAGTTCCAGCTCGTTAAACCGGCGACTTGTGTTTCCTACGTGACTTCAAGTGACTCCTTAATGGTGCTATCAAGATATAAATAGGCTAAATAACTTGCCAGGATCTCATCTGTACCACACTCTTACATTTAAAACACAAATACATACTCATAGATTTATAACCTACTTTTTCATACAACGGGGCTTCTAAGTTTGTGGAAAAAAGAAAAGACAACACAATTTTTTTCACTGACTTTTCGAAGTCCCCTCCCTCATAGATCAAACTTTAAGAAGTCAAGACCCTTTGTTCTCAACATTCAACATCCCATCACTTTCGCTGTACTGCAGTACAGTGACAAATTTCCCCTCTTGGAGGTAGTTTTTACACTCAGTATCATAAATTATTGCTATAACTATCCTCACATATACTCTTTGGGACATAGTTCAGGTTCATTCCTTAGGCTACTTTATAATAGGTTGGCCTATTTTCAAAGTTCTGGATTACTATTCCTTAACTTTCTCCTATAAAGAGAAGACCTTTTAAAATAAAAAACAAAGAAACAACAAAATTTCTTTAGATTGTTTTCTTGATTTCTTATTTTGAAGAAGTAGGCCTTGGGAATGGAGCCCTGGTAGCATAGTGGGTTATGTACTGGGTTGCTAACTGCAAGGTCAGAGCTTTGAAACCACCAGCTGCTCCAAGAGAGAAAGATGAGGTTTTCTACTCCCATAAAGATTTACAGTCTCGAAAATCCACAGGGGTAGTTCTAGTTTGGGTTGCTCTAAGTCAGAATCAATGCGATGGCAGTGAAGGAGTGAGTGAGTACATAGGAGGTACCTGTCAGTGCCGAGACATTTCACACTAGTTCTAAGTAGTTCATACTACACTCATACTCATTTCATAATAGATCATACATAAAAATCTTTCTAATGCTAAGCTGTCAGATTTAAGAGGGTGCCGAAACAGAACAGAATTAGCAACTCTACCTATGATTACTATGTCATTGGGTCCTGGGTACCGGAGCTTAGCGATCAGCAAGCTCTTGTACTATTCAATGGCAAAATGTACACAGGGGCAAAAAACATCTAACAAACAGAGAAAGCAACCTTGGTGGCAACTGTTTGGCAAGAATTGGACAGCTAATTACAAGGTCAGAAGTTCAAACACACCAACTGATCCACAGAACGATGAAGCTATCTGTTTCTATAAAAATTTACAACCTAAGCGGTCATCTAGCTGAGAAGCAAAAAAGCCCACATGGAAGCACACCACCCTGTGTGATCATGAGGTGTTAATAGGATTATGCACCAGGCATCAAAGACCCAGAACAAAAATTCATTATTGATGAGAATGAGGGGGAGGGTAGAGTGGGCAACCAAAGCCCATCTATAGGTAATTGGACAGCCCTTCACAGAAGGGTCACAAGAAAGAGACGAGCCAAACAGGGTGCAGTATAGCACCGATGAAACATACAACTTTCCTCTAGGTCTTTAATGCTTCCTCCCCCCAACTATCATGACCCCAATTCAACCTTACAAATCTGGCTAGATGAGAGAATGTACACTGGTATAGATCAGAGCTGGAAACACAGGGAATCCAGGAGAGCTAAACCCCTAGGACCAATAATGAGTAGCGATACCAGGAGGGTAGGGGGACGGTGGGGTGGGGAAAGGAGGAACAAATCACAATGATCGACATATAACCCCACCCCACCCCACCCCAGGGGGACGAGCAACAGAAAAGTGGGTGAAGGGAGACAGCAGTCAGTGTAAAACATGAAAAAATAAAAATAATTTATAAAATATAAAGGGTTCATGAGAGAGGGAGGGTGAGGGGAGGGAAGAAAAAAAATAAGGAGCTGATACCAAGGGCTCAAGTAGAAAGAAAATATTTTTAAAATGATGATGGCAACCTATGTACAAATGTGCTTTACACAATGGATGGATTGGGATAAGAGCTTTAAGAGTCCCCAGTAAAATGATTAAAAAATAAATTTACAGCCATGAAATCCTACACAGGGTTACTATGTCAGAATCCACTAAGCGGCAGTGCGTTTGTTTTTAATATGTGGAGAAGCAATAAGAGATTAGGCAGTGTCAGAATAAGGATCCTATGTGTAATTAAACATAACGGGAAAAAAACACGTAACAGGAAAGTAGAACAGAGTTTTGACACTGGCATTGCCCTTTCAGGCAAACTGACCTAGCAATAGTGCACAGGACTAACAAACAAAGAACAGTGTTTATGAAACCAATTAGGGAACTGTAAGAAAATACAATTATCTGGATAAAAGGAGAAAAATGAAATATTTGTGCTTAGAAAATGATTAGGAACCACAATTAAATCTAATTCCATTACACAAATATCTTGAAACAAATCTGATAAAATATATCTTGTATCATTTAATGTAAAGAGCCCTGGTAGCGTAGAAGGTTAAGCTTTGGGCTGCTAACCACAAGGTTAGCAGTTCAATCCCACCAACAGTTCTGCAGGAGAAAGTTGAGATTTTCGGTTCCCATACAGATTTACAGCCTCAGAAACCCAAAGCATAGTTTTATTCTGTTCTATAGGGCCACTATGAGTCAGAATTGGTTTTAGGTTTGGTCGTTTAATGTCCATGTGAAATAGGATTTTACCTGATTTAGTGTTATGCAAATACCATATTATGTACAGGCAGGATCGCAAATGAGTTCTGTTCTAAATCTGTCTTGAAGTCAATTATATACCTAGATACGGTTCAGATATGGCATAAGTCAAATGTTTGTCTTAGTATTTAGGAAACATTTCTATGTATAAACAACATTAAAGACACAAGAAAGCATCCCTAACACAACCTAGTGGGGCTGCTCAACGCAACATCAGCAGTTCAAAACCACCAACTCCTCCACTGGAGAAAGACAGACTTTCTATTCACATAAAGATTTATAGTCTTAGAACCCAAACGCACCAGGGGGCTATATCCCATTTTATATGACTTGCTAGCAGTGAGTTCAGGCTTTGGAGTAAGAATCATGTGCAGAGCAAGGTAGCACCCATTTGTTACGGATCATTATTTCTAAGTCTTTATAGGAGTTGGGACCAAGGGTTTATGTGCAGTTGACTTTTATCTGCTGACATTCGTGTGAAGTGTTAAGACTCTCATACCTCCCTCTTTCCATCTGAATTCAAAAACAGAGACAGATTCTATCAAGAAGAAAAATATAACTTTCTAAAGAACAGTATAGTAAGAATTAGCAACATACCACTATAATTTCAAGGACTGTAAAACTTACTTTTGGATGTATATTATTTTCCTTTACTAAAATTTCTGGTTCTGAAAGGAAACTGAGTAGATCTTTTACTTTCTGTAAAGAAGAGTCTTCAGGAAAATCTTCATCTACTAGCTTGTTCTCCTCAAAATATGTCATGTCCAAAATAGCCTGAAGAAATAAGAGAAAAAAACACTTCATATGATTTAATCTTGAAAGAAAAACTGAGACTAGTTTAACTTTATATGCAGATGCTTTATTTACCAGGTTATTTCAAACCTTTACCAAGTATTTGAGGAAGAATTTGGTGATTTTGTGGTAGAGTTATCACCTATGTTGGAGACATGTTCAATTCCTGGCCAAAGCAGCCCAGGCATAGCCACCACCCACCTGTCAGTGGAAACTTGTATGTTGCTATGATGCTACGCAGGTTTCAGTGAGGAGCTTCCACAGTAAGAAAGATGATGAAAAAAAGACTGGTAACCTACCTCTAAAAATCAACCAATGAAAACCTGATGAATCAGAACACTCCAATCCACAGCTGATAATAGGGAGCGAGCAGAACTGGGAATTCTTTAGTTCTTTTATAAATGTTTATGCATTTAGCTCTTTTACACTATGAGACAAGGGCAGAATTAACAGCAGCTAACAGGAACATGCATTTATATTAGAAAAAACGAGAGAATGCCTGGCTGTAAGCATAACTCAAAGCAGACCTTATGAAATAATTTACGGGTACCTCACTAAAATACGAAATTCACGATGATGATGCTTCCCTCAGGAGCTCTGCGGTATTGTGGGATAAGCAATGGGTTGGCACTGCAAACCCAACAGTCACTCTTACCTGAGAAAGATCAGGCTGTCTGCTCCCGTAAACATGTGTAAGCTTGGAAACCCTACCTTGGGTCACTATGAGTTGGAATTAACTCTCTGACAGTTTGTTTTTGCTGTTTGCTCCTTTCAAAAAATAAGATGGCGATTTGTTACAATACTATAAATTAATCATAAGAAATATCATGATGAAGTGTAATCACATATGGGGGTATGTATATGATGTTGTGTGTTACTGAGTAGTTAGGACTCATAGAAACCCTGAAGTAGGAGGCAGCCCTGAGTCATGGGTTGACCTAGGCTGTCACCTTTATGGGAGCACAAAGCCAAGTCTTTCCTTCTACAGAGTAGCTAAGTAGCTATCTGGTGTGTTCAAACCACCACCCTTTCAGTTAGCAGTGAGCACATCAACGGCTGCACCACCAGGTCCCTGTGTATTCTAAATTTTTCTAAATGGCTGTTTTATCAAGTTAAAAACCTCGTCTTATATACTGACTCTGAAAATATTTACTTGCACCTGGAAGAAGTACACCATTCCCATGAGGCTGTTCAAACACTAAGTACCAGCAGCATTCCGTAAGAACAAAGGAGAGTCTGTGCAAACACACCTCACACTTACCCAGTCCTTTTTCTTTCTTTTTAACCTACTAGACTAAGAGTGAGGAGACCTGGTTATTTAGTGGTTAAGCGTACGGCTGCTAACTTCATGGTCAGCAATTTGAAACCACAAGTTACTCCACGGAATTGATTTAATGGCAGTGAGTTTTGCTTTCTTTGACTAGGAGAAAGAAAACCAGGTTCTAGTGTCAGTTCTACCACTAATCACATAATCAACCAAAAATGTCACTTTTATCTTGTTAAGCCTCAGTTTCTTCATTATTTTGAGAATAAAATGAATGAGTATAAAGCACTTACAGTATTACCTGGGGAAAAACAAAACAAAGGACCTACAGTACTGCCACAAGGTCAATCCCAGCCTCATCTTTCTCCAGTGGAGTAGCTGGTGACTTTAAACAGATAATCTTGTCATTAGCAGCCCAATGATTAACCCACAACACTACCAGGGCTTCTATAACACTACTTAGCACAATGGCCCTTAAGTGATAGCTGTTAACTATATGGAAGACCTATGCCAAGACCATTCCAAACTTCAAACCCACTGCCATTGAGTGGATTCCAACTCATTGTGACCCACAGGACAGAATATAACTGGCCCTATGGGTTTCCAAGGCTATGAATCTCATTTTTAATAACAATTTTTAATTGTAAATTAGGTAAGGGTTTACATTTCAGATCATCAATTTTGTATTCAACAGTTTAAACTACCAATCAAACCCCCAATAGTTGACCCTTCATCCGCGCCTTCATTTCTCTTCATGTAGACAACTTGGGTGATATGGAAGATAGTAAACATAGTAAACACCCGCCAACAACGGAGTCCATTACTTCATCTCCCCAGCCAATTGCCAAAGTCTGTTTCCTTTGTAAGGAGCCCTGGTGGTACAACGGATACGTTAGGCCGCGAACTACAATGTCAGTAGTTCAAAACCACCAGCCCTCTGCAGGACTAAGATGAGGCTATCTATTCCCACAATGAGTTACAAGCTCAAAAACCCATAGGAGCAATTCTGCCCTGTCCCACTGGGTTACTATGATAAGAATCAACTTGAAGATGGTGAGTTTGGTTTTGGTTTCCTTTGGTATGAAAGTCTTTAATAGAAAGCCTCTTTTTTCTCTTGGGAGCATCTGGAGGCTTACGAACTGTTGACCTTGTGGTTAGTAGCTCAAATCTTAATGCACTATGCCACCAGAGCTTCTGGGCAAGATTATTCATTATACAGAACTTAAGTTGTTGATGCAAAGTCTTAGGTGGACCCAAGAGGACCTGGGAAATCTGAATTTCTCTCTCTAGGTGTCTTATTCCTAGAAATAAGGGAAAATATTTAGAACACGCCCAAGTGAGAGAACCGATGGCACCCATTATATGTAAAAGCACAAGCAGTTGCCTGAAAGGATTGGGAGCTAAACAAACCACTCCCAAATTCGAGTAATACCTTGGGAGTTGTGAATAGATGTCAAGAGGCCCATTCAAGCATGACATTTGAAAGCAAAACTTTTAGGAAGCTCCTGAGAGAAAGTACAGCAGAATTCCAGTACTTTATGTTTCTTTTGTAAACAGAAGCAATTCGTGTTTCCAGGCACTCAGCATTAGTTGGGTGTTGTTAGTACGGTTGTTTCAATCTTTGGCGGCTGTGTTCCAAGCGTTTTGTTACAATTTTCTTGGTTTTTGTAGCTTTTTGTACAGTTTTTAGATAAAAAACATGGGTCCTGAGAGTTTTTTGAAAAGAATCATCATATCCAAATTGGTGGTGACGTGGGTGTGGGAGGCCTGGTAGGGCATGATCAAGGGGAATGTAACAAAGAGGAAGTGCTGAAATCCTGGTGGGGACTGAGCACGATAGTGGGAAAGGAGGAAAACCAAGGGAAATAGAGGAAAGAGCTAGGAGGCAAAGGGCATTTATAGCGGTCTAGATAAAGACATGTACATATGCAAATATATTTATATGAGGATGGGGAAATAGATCTATGTGCATACATTTATAGGTTTAGTAT